TGTACTGTGCTTTCCTACCAAGAACACATTTACACAGTACAATTTCAGTTTCTTTTACTTTTAACTGGTAATCTAGAAACTATTTTCTGGTGTACTTCAAACACACATTTCTGAGAAAATTATGGTATATATCAGGATTCCACTAAGATAAAACAAATTTAGTATAAAATCCATACATAAACTTAGGAGTAGCTAGCACTGCTAGAAACTAGTTGAAGTAATTTACTGTTTGGACAAATGTATTGTGAGAAAGGTTCACCTGTGAAACATAAACCACAGGACACTGTAGACCTGTTGATGATAGTAGTGACTGAAGTAACAGACTGGACTGACTGAAAAAATCTGTTCAAAGGATTTCAATAATGGTATCAGGAAAAATCTTTGAATGTTTGGCATACCCATTCTAAGGATTCTGTTGCATTTTAGCATAAAGCAGAGAGTAGAATGTCATTCTCTTGCTGATTTCATGAATGTAAGACAAGTGTCTATTTGTTTCCAGTTTGATACAGACATTGCAGACAGCCTTGAAGAGAATTTAGGTTTATACTGGGAAGATTGGTGTACAACAGCAATGTTTTAACAGTTTGTGGCCAATCTTTATTATGCTGGTGGGTTTCCTTAGATGTCTGAGTTTAATGATAATGTGCTCTGGAATTCATGTGAAGAAAATGCTTTAGAGCTCTTGAACTGAGAAAGACTTCTGAAGTGAAGATATTGTGCACAGTAATTTTTAATAGCCTATGCCTCTCAGGATGTCTGGTGCTTACTAATCTTTCTGATCATCAGGAATTAATTTAAGGGAGAAAGCAACAAGAAATATAACTGTGGTGTAGCTTCTCTGAGGCATCCTAAATCTCAGAAGGATTTTACTCTATCTCAAAGTACAACAAAATACAACATTGACAGAGATAACAAGAAGGGATAAGGAAATTCAAAGAAACCAACTTATTCAGCAGTTGTCTGGAGATACAGAATATAGACCCACCAATCTGAGTTGGTTATTTCAAATGGGGAGAGAACTGCAGCTGGATTTCCAGAGAATTAGGTCATGCTCCCATCTGGCAGGATTTTGGAACTCAAAATTTGAATGGACTTCAGAAACTTAGGGAGCTAAAGTCACAGTTCTAAGGGTTAGGTGGCTGATTTAAGTGTCTGGACAACTATACTTCAGTTCTGATTTGCTTACAAATACTGACAATTCTTCATGGCCCACAGCCTAGCATGAATTTCCCTATTTTCAGTGCACTAGACTATATATCAGGAAGAAGGAGAACAGATACCAGTGATAATGCTAAGAGGCATGGGATAAAGAGCTTTAAAGATGCTAACAGTGGTTGGTATCCAGTTACTTCCCTGGGAAAGGGAAATCTGAAGTGCCACACTAAGTTGGCTAATTCACACATAAGCAGGGAGGACTTTCTTGGTGCTTCTCCTATTTTACCACTTGCCCTTAGTACCAGTGATACCTGCCAGTATAATGACAACTTAGAATAGTCTCTAGGAAAAAAAGTAAATATAAGCCAGTAAGTACTCCAGTAATTCAAAAGACATATTGCTGCTACAAAGCCAAATACATTTAGCATGCTTCCCCTGTGCAGATTTTATGCCATCACAGAACACAGACTCTCAAGATTTTAAGTCCATCAAGACATAGCAAAAGCATGCTAACTGTGAGCAGATACTAAGCACTTTAACAGTAATGAATAATGTCAATGGAGAAGATAATTTACCATACAATACACCTAATATTTAATAAGAAAAAAAACCTTTGAAACTAAAACAGCACAATTTTTTTTTTGGTGTGATGTTACAAGTAAGGAATCAGACCTGGAATCAGAATCATAGAATGGCATGGTTTGAAAGAGATCTTGAAGATTATCTAGTTCCAACTCCCCTGCCATAGGCAGGGACATCCTCTACTAGACCAGGTCTTACAGCCCTATCCAACTTGGGCTTGAACCCTCCCTGGCATGAGGAGTTCATAACCTTTCTGGCAACCTGTTCCAGTGCTTCACCATTTTTTCCTAACACCTAATCTAAACCTACCCTGCTTCAATTTGAGACCATTCCCCCTTGTCCTTCTCCCCAGGGCTCATCTCAATCCATTCTCTGCCCAGCCTGTGTTTGTGCTTGGAATTGCCCCAAATCAGATACAGGGCCTTCCACTTGGATTTGTTGAACTTCATGAGATTCTTACGGGCCCGTCTCTCAAGCCTGGCAAGATCCCTTCCCTCCAACACACTGACCTCACCACACAACCTGGTGTCACCTGCAAACTTGCTGAGATGCACTCGATCCCACTGCCCATGTCTCCAACAAGGATGTTAAACAGCACCAGCCCCAATACCAACCCCTGAGGAACCCCACTCGATCTGCAGAATTTAAGTTTGTCACAAAAGCAGGCTTGGAGATTTTAGGGCTACACTGATCTCTTTAATACTAAGTTTTCCCACATACCCTGCATATACCCTTATTCCTCCAACTAAGAACGGATTTCAACCCTAAGAAAGATAAATAAGCACTCTGAATCTGTTAGAGAATGCATAGTTGTGCCACAAATAGAATCAGGCAAACACCTGATGGAAAGAAGGTATATCCTCTGTTCCTTAGGGAGACCAGCAAGATAGATAATAGTCTGTCATACTGAAAGAAAATGGAGATCCTTTCCTATCAAAAGACTTCATCATATTTAGGATACCGTTTACTTTATGGGAGAACTTCTGGCAATAACCATGAGGAAAAGTGGTTTTATTCATCTTGATTACTGTCAGGGATTTTTCCATTGTGTAAGCAATAACACATAGGTATTCCGGCACCCAAAGCTTTGAAACAGCTTTGAGAGCAGACAGCAACTGACTTCACTTGAATCCAAACTCATCATATAAACCTCTTGATAGTTATTATTCTAAGAAGCACATTGCCTCTGTTTTTGCCTGCATAGACTACAAAGTGCATGAAAAGTACTGAAAGAGCCTGAGATGTTGCTGGGGGAGGGTATGCAAATTTATTCAGACCTTTTTAAAACAGTAGACAAGCACTTGTGCTAATCCTAGAGATGTGCTTGTTTTCCTAAACTGTTGCCAATGTTCTCTTAAGATAGTAATAAAAATTTAACTTTGAATTTATCTAGCATTACAGACATATCACATAAAATTAACTGTAGTCTGTATACTCTTTGCAATTTTGACCGTGTTCAGATTAAACCAGACAGGGCTTGCTCAAATGAGTATTTTTGGACCATAAAAAGGTACTTTTAAGCCCTTAAGTTTTCAGTGGGAAACTCTGCTTTCTTTCCTTAAACATCATATATGCCCAGTTTTTAGAATTTGGTCTGCAAAAGTAGAAGAACCTATTCATAACAGAAAAAAAGGCAATTTCTTCCCCAAGTACATTTTTTCAACAGCACATAAGATAGGGATGACAACACCTCAACACTTCAGTGACAATTAGTCATCATGTCTTAGCATGAACATAATATAATGAAATAGAACATAGTATAATAAAACCCATTTTTCTAGGAATTTTGCTCACCTTTTTTCTAGCTTCATTTACTTTAGATTGCCTTTTTATATCGGATATTATGGTTTTTTCCTTCCAGATGCTTAAAGGTTAGGAAAGTATTTTCTTCCTTTTGATTCCTCTCCTGGGAAAAAAATTCAGTGGCTTATTAGTTTCCTCAGTACTCTCTGTATAACAAAAGGTGGTATTTATGGAAGGCCTCATTTTTCTCTTAGCTCTATTGCTCCAGACCTGCAACTTCTGTTCATTTCCTTGGGCACTGAAGATTTTCAGCAGCTCTAAGGACCAAACAAATATCAGACACTAACACTGGAATCATGGAATTAATAAGGACCAGAATTCTGAGACAGCAGTGAGTTTAGACAGACATAAAACCAAAATATTTCTTTCAAGTGAATACATCAAGAAAGATGTGACTTGTTAGAAAAATACCTTACTTCTCTTGAGTGGCCATGTTCACAAGCTCTCATTATATTTTGCAAAGTGCAACAGAGTAAGACCCACTCCTACTCACATCTCAGTCTCAGCCTAATTACTGTCATCATACAATTAATATAAAAAATATTTTTGTTATTCTCATCTTCCATGTGCATTCTCCTTTTACTTTGTCTTCTTTTTCTTCTTCAATGCTGTATTTTATTATTTATTTGCTGTCCTTTTTTTCTGTGCACTAGTAGTTAATTATATTTTACATATGCTGGAAAATTCTAATAAAAGCACTAGGACTTAGAAAATAAACTTTTCTCTTTTTTTAATTAATGGAAAATCTGCAAGTTTAATTAGGCAACCCATTGAGATAAATGCATCAACAAATAAATTTCCCACTCATGAATGCAGCACAGCTAACAAGAAACTGCCTAGGAAGTTTCAATTCATTTGAGTACTGAAGTATTTACACCAAACAGATTTGGGCCAGATAATAGCTTTCCAATACAACCCAAGGATTACAGAGTGAACCCCAGCAGGGCAGCTGATTCTTAAGCACTGGGAAATCTCCCACTGGATTAGAGCACACATATTTTTCTTTCAGAGTGACAGGAAAACAAGTGCATGCCAGGAAAATGCCTGAAGGAAGAAGAGGTTGATACAAAACTGTCCTTTGCAGGTAGTTGCTGCTTAGGCTTTTCTACGCTGCTGTATAAATAAACTGGTCCTGATGACCTGAAGAAGGGGAATTAAAAAGATTCTACTTAGTCTATGAGCCTCTTGTTTACAGTGCAGGTTATTTTTCTGTTTATACTCCTCACCATCTGAATCCAGAAAAGAAAAAAAGTGAACCTAGTCTGAGACTGCTGATACCAGCCACTGGTAAAAATTTAGCTTATTATGGGATTAGAAGTATCAAGAGAAAGGATACACAAGCATAAAACCTTAAAAAGAAGAAACAATTGTTATTTTAAATAATAATCACAGAGTATGGGTCGTAACATTTATAATAAAGTCAATGTTCGACATTAATAACAGACATAAGGAAGCAATCATATTTGTAAAAGAGATATTTATTTCTGGAGATTCAAAGAGACATTGCACTTTTTTCTTTTGCATCGAAAAACAAACACTGTACTTGAGGAATCAGTTAAAAATAACAGAATAAAATGGAGAAAAAAGCACTATCAATTCAGAATTTCCAACCTCTCTGCAATTTGCTTCCACTTAAGAACATGACTGGTTCTTCAGAGCAATAACTGCATAGCATCTGGGGGACTTCACAGGATCAAATAACTTCACAAGTCCAGACCAGGCAATGTTTTCCTGAAAATGATATATGATTGAAGTGCATAAAAATGTTTTTGACTTACAAACTAAAATATGGTAATAGATATTTTGAAATACAAAATTGAAAATAAATAGAACTATCCTAATGCAAAGCAGAAAAACTACTTATCTAATAAGAAAATCGGGGGAAAGTTTGTTGTGAAAAAATGGGCATCCATAACAGGATGTATTTTAAAGTCATTTAATTATTTCTGGTGCTATCAAGTGATAGCTTCTCACCTGCTTCATCAATAAAGCTTTGTTTTTAGGTTGAACTAGAACAAAGAAATTAAGGATCATGTCATATTTGTTTTATGTTGCACATTCTACTACTGAGCTAATTAACTGACTTTTCAAATTAATCAGGCCAGCTGGATCTGGTCATCACCCTGCATTTGGCTTTTATAATTTTTATTTTTCTTCCTAAATACATTTTGTGAATCAATCAGTACAAGATTAAATCCATACATGTATTACATTTAGAAAAGGTGAATTAGTATTATATGCAGCAAGTCTGATCTCCCATCTTGGAAATCATACAGATTTCTATGCAATTTTTAACTGGTTGGCACTTGGGAAAATACATCATTGTTTAACTATTTCAAATTGCTTCTCTGTAAAAATACCAGTTAGAACAAAGGCATACATTTAGTACAAAGCAGTTGTTCCAAGTGCACCATGACAGAGAATAAAGTGAGTTTTCACTTATGATAAAATGGAGCTGTTAAAATGAAAGGTTTATAGTGGAAAAACACAGCTATTCATATGAATGAGTTTAAACTTTATTTTAAAATTTTATTTTGACCATGGCCCAGAGCAGAAGCTGGAAGATGCTACCATTTCCTCCTAGGAAATTATTACTTGTGTGAAAAATGTTTATTGGCACAGAAAAAGTATTGCCACTGCTTTCAAGCTAACCAGGCCAAGCTCAAAATCAGTGTTAGAAGAAAAAGCAATAATGGAAGAAGTCATCATGGAGTAAATGTAGCAGCATTTGTTTATTATGTCCCAGATCTATACTTGTAAAATATATCCAGGCTGCATGTTAGTCAAATGTACCTCAGCTGACCCATACAGTTAGAAAAGGTGCATCCTCTCTCATTATTAACTGATCTTAATTAAGAAACAGTAAAAGAAAGTCATAAACGTTTTGGATTGAATTCAAACATTTTTGAATTATATGTTCCAAAGCACATTAATTGGAAGTTCAAGTATTAACAGCACAATATTTGTTTAGCATTTCCTAAATTTTTTTAATTATTAAATATCTCATTATGTTGTATAAAATGAGATTTGCTGCATCTTTGATTAATTTATATTTTACTATCTATTGACTAGTAATTACAATACAATTAAAAGAGCATAAACTTTACTGTTGCTGCTTTGTTGAAAATAAAAACATCTGCTGGGCATATGTTTATACTAAATGGAATGAATGCTTATACTTGTGCAAATATGATGAGAATAATAATTCTGCAACAGAGACTTTTCATCTGCACAGTAATAAATTGACTGAAATAGCCTCATTTCAGTGATGTAGCCTTTAGGTATCATGAAAGAGAATGCAAAAATACCTGCTCCTTTAGGTAGCAAAGACGATCCAGAAGTATCAAAACTTCTATGCAAGGAGCCAGAACAACCTTCAACTGAAATAAAGATTAGATGCTAGAATCCTTTTGGGAAAGACAAGCAATACACTTCCACACGGCTACATTTCCTCAGAACAATTCCAGGAAGGTCAACCACATTTTAGGGGTTCTGTTGTACAAATGTCACCTTGCTAATTTTCCCTATGGGATGGACATCTTCAAAAGAGATTATATTAAAATCCAAAATACATGGAATGCCATAAAGTCATGGAACTACGTTGTTTAGTTGGTTTTCAGACATTGTCCAACAAGAAAATAATATTAAATGTAGCAGAACAATTTTAAAGAGGGAAATAATCAATTTTAATAAAAAGAGTTTTTATGAAATAACTGCGTGGAGACCAGTCTAGATTTAAAGGGAGACTGACATTCCATTTTCCAGTGCAACAGTCCCTCTTGAGAAAGAATCTTCCATGTGTTGTTCACTTTATTACTTTACTTACACCTAATATAGTTCTGGAATAGGATACGCTCCAAAGTGTGGAAGGGGGAACTGCTTTGTTTCCTGAGATTGCATACCACAGTATAAGACAGTCCACCTCCACATAAAACTTAACAGGGCTTTGTTCTAGACTAGCACATATACACAAGGTAGTAGTATTATTCCCATAACTTTTACCATATTAAATGCTTCAAGCTCATTCATTCTGTGCTTGTACTTTTCATAGTAGTCCATTATACAGCTGTCTGGGAGCTGCAAGAGATTAAAAAAAAGATATCAAAGTTATTTTAGATACTTTTTCAAGAGAACTTCAGAATTAAATATATTGTCACACTACAAAATGAAATCTGTATTTTGTTTTTGAAATTAGCACTTTGCTAGTATTTATAATAGTTTTCCAATAGTAGTTTCTCAGTTCTTACTTACACTAACTGTTCTTCACACAGCATTTTCCACTGACAGGAAATACTGAAAAATATCCTTATACAGAAAGCTCCAGCCACTCTTAAATGAGAATTAGACAGTAAAGTGGAGATAACATTCTCATTTTCTTTCCATGTACCTTATCCCTTCTTCACTTCCATGCCCAAGAGATTTATTTAAATAGTTGAGAATGAAACTCTGGTGCGAGACTAACATGGATGGTATTTCACAACCTACTATCAGATTCTGGAAATAATGCTTTGTCTCCCTGTGCATAAAATTACCCATCTTTAAAACAGAACTTTCTCTACTGACTTTGAACTACTTCATGTTCCCTCTCTTCCCAGTCACCTGATGTGAGTCTGCCAGCACTGCCACCATGACTGCAAATGCTGCAATTTGGGGCTGAATTTGATACACAGGCAGTTCAGGAACTTGGCCAAGCCTTTTCAGCCCTTGCTGGACAGTGCAGCAGAGCAGCTGCTGCAGCTGTGACCATGACTGCTCTTCACATGTTCTCTATAGGGCAGCCAGACCACCACATCTCCTGGCTTTTGAAGGTCATGATGTGTCTGCTCTGCTGACCACAGTCCTGGACACTGAACAAGACACTTGAACTGGTCACGTAAGGAACACGCCAAAGAAGTGGGAAGTAGGTTTGTAGCATTATTGCTGCTGAGAAGAGCAGAGCTGAAACAGCCTGATGCACTTATGCAGTACTGGGAGTTTTGCAGTATGGCAGTTCTGTCATGGCTATGGAATGAAAGGGTCCAAACTCAGCAGAAAAGTAACGGTTCTGCCAGATGTGTTGATGTCGTGCTGAGGGACACGGTTTGGTGGTAGACTTGCAGTGCTGAGTTAATGGTTGGAATTGCTGCCCTTAGAAGTCTTTTTCAGCCTAAATGCTTCTATGACTCTATGACAAAAGACTAGGAAAGCTAAGATGCTTAATAAATGTTTGCACATTTTATTAGAAGAATCATCTGAGAGCATGCAGCTAATACAGTTGCAAAGAAGTAAAATCTGTCTAAAACAGGTAAACAAACCAGGAAATATTTAAAAAATATGTAAGTTTTCCAATCAAGTGAGTATTATAAACTTTATCCTGGGACAGCCAAGAAAGGACTGAAGTGACCTCAGAACTATTACTCATTGTCACTGAGAAGTTCTCAAAGAGAGTATGTCAGACAGATAGCAGATATGTCTTTTATTATAGACCAGAAAGTTCAGGTTCAATGCACTGAAAAAGTGGAACAAATAAAGAATTTAAAACCACTGAAAGATAAGCAAATGAGTAATAACACAAAGTCATCAAGAATAAATCACAAGTCAGTTTACTTCACTTGTAAGGATAAAAGGATCCACGACAGAGAAAAACAACTGATTCACACATATTTTGATTTCAAAGAGATTTTTGATAACATTTCCCATAATAATTTTATAAGCAAATTTAGGAAACAAGCTTCAGATTAAAGTACTAAAAAGTGAGTGAGAACTGTTTGAATTACCATAACCAGAGAGTGGCTCCTAATGAGTCTTTGAGCAACTGGAACAACCTGCTGACTGGAGGTCCATTATGGAATGCAGTATTTTCATTAAATATTCAGACAATAGAACAGAAACCACATTAGCCAAGTCTGCAAATGTGCAACAGGAAGGCATTGCCAGAACTTAAAATAACTTTCAGAAACTGGAGCATTTCTTAGAGAAGAAGTTTGAAATGCTGTACAGGAAAGCAGAAGGGACTAGGCTCAGGCAGAAATAATCAGCTGTTCAGGACGGGGAGCACCAAATGACAGTCTGGAAGACAGAGCAGATCATAAGCTGCGTGAGAGCCACAGTTGTGCTACTGCAAAAAAAAGCAATCACCATTCTGTGACATGTATGGGAGAGCAGCCTGCAAAGTGCAGGAAGTAATCCTTCAACTCTGGCAGAAGAAAAGCTCTAGCTGGAATACTGCATCAATTTTTGGGCATCAGATTTCAAAGAAAGAAATGAACTGTCTGAAAAAGCCCTGAGAGGGGAAAATAGATCAGAAATCTAGAAAACATGACCTGTGAGGAAAGACTCAGAGAACTGGAACTGATCAGGCTAAATGAGACAAAATTGAGAGCGGGGATAATAACAGTTTTTACAAGGCTATCACTAAGAAGTAGGGAACAGTTTGTTCACTGTGTGATAGGGCAAGAACTAATGGGCTTGAATTGCAGGAAAAAAAAAAGAAAAAAAAAAAGAAAAAAAAAGTCAGTCAAAACTTGAACATTTTCTCTTAGAGGTTAATTAAGGACTGGCAAGGCTGTCAGTCTCCATCACAGGAAGCTTTTAGAAGATCTGACAAATATTATTTTCAGGAATGATGCATAATTCTAACTCTGCTTTAAAACAAGAGATCAGAAAAAAACCTTTTGTGGTATTTCAGTCATATTTTTTTAATTTATTAAGTACATTTTCCCTACTGCAAAGGCAAAGTTGAGTAATTTATCCAGCAGTACTAAAGTGGACTAACAAGAATTTTTTTGGTCTTATTGCTATTTTATTTTCTGTAAAGCTGTGCAAATATTTCAGAGTTCTTTTTGTTTTTCTCTTCCCCTCTAAACAGTCAAACCAATTAAAATATATCAGTCATGAAATAAACAAAAGAGTTTATTTAACCTCTGCCCTGTAAGCTTTTCATTTCAACTGAGTATTAATAGGGTTTTAGTATAATGGATTTTTGAAATTACAGGCTATTTGGAATTAAAATACAAAGATCTATATTTGGAAAAATATGATCTTGAAACCTTTCTGCTTTTGCTCCCTTTATGTTCTCCATTTTCCAAGACAAAACATTCAAATTAAAAGAAAACAAGCTGTGAAATGTTTGGTAAATAAAAAGTAGGTCAAAAATGTCTCCACCATATACAAGTATGTGCTTTTCCATTCCTTCCCTGCCTATTACACATCTTGACAGAACACATCCTGCTGTCATGGATAGATCAGGTACTATTCCAAACTGTGCCTCAGATAAAGGTTTGGTGAGTGAACCAATTCAGTGAAACAGCTCAGCTGGAAAAGAGCAAAAGTGTCTGTCTGAAAAGCATTGGTAGAGAAGGGCACAAAAATGGTAGTTAGCTGTGTGTTCAATTTACTGGAAGACATCTAAAACCCAAATAACATTGGCTTTGTCTGAAACTGCAACAGCTTTCCACCTGTCTTCAGTACCTAACACAACCTTCAGCTCTCCTTCCAGGGTGAAGTAGGAGTAGTTTACTCTTGCCATTTCTGAAGAAGAATTGTACTTCCACATGCAAAGCAAGCCCCATTCAGGCCACTGAAGTTATCCAAGCAACTGTACTCTGCGTTGTCACTCACTTGTGTATGCAAAAAAATTCATCATATATATGCACTGAACTTTTTGCTTACATTTTGACATTGAGACTATGAACATGAAAAAACTCAAATACATGCATTTGTCTTAATAATGACTCCACACTCAAAGATCTAACTTATGTTATTGACATTCAAGTGACCTTCATTTCATTTTGGCCAGTATTTCTTTCCTGATACAGCTACAATGTCTCCTGGTCTTTATCAGGTTGCCAACAAAAGGACCTTATCTCTTTGTACTGTGATGGTGGTGCAAGCTTTATTTTGAACTGATTTCTTTGAGGATGGATGTGGGCACTCAAACAACTGAAACAAGCAAGAGGAGCTAGCAAAGTCTCCAGTGACTTAGTTGTTACAATACCATATATAATATACCATATATATCATAAATATAATATGATGGAGATGGCACTAAACATGAGCCATAGGACTGGCTGATCCATTTTGAACATGGTGAGAGCTCTGAGAGCACGTGAGATACCACACACCTGAGCACAACCAGCTTGGACTGTAGTCCAAGGCACACTGATACAGCACAGGCTGAAAAGCAAACACTCAGGCACAAGGTGTGAGGCAATTCCTGATGCCACACTTCATGTTTCTTCAGAGAGCATTTTTTCAGAGCTGTATCCTTTCCTAGACTAAGAGTACTTTCACTGAACGAAAGTCGCTCTTACTGTCCAATGCTACACATGCCCTCGACAGAAGAGACAGTCTAAGGATGCTATTCTACAGTCTGTTAGATGTGATTCCTCTTTGCTATCTCAAAGGGACTGCTTCTTCCTGCACTGACTGCACAATTCCATGTTTCCTCTCTCTCCTTGTACCAGCGTGATCATGAACACTGATGAAACTACAAGAAAACTGTGAGGCAATCCTTCTAGCAGAGCAGAGTCTTAGATCAGTTCAAAACATTGGGGAGAACATACTGAAGAGGAAATTTTACAACTTTTCCATGACTAAGGTAGTTAAAAATAATGCAATGTTACATATTGTAAAATAATGTAAAACAGATAATGAAACTACTGAGTGGATTAAGTTTATTTAGAACTTTGTTTAAAATGCATTTCAAATGAATGCAATCTATATTATTTATAATTATGCTTAATTGATATACAAGTTACATCTCTTAGGACTCTTCATCAGAGTAAAATGCTACAGTACTGTAACTGGGATAGTATTTTGTCTATGTGAAAAACAGTTATGCTTAAAGACAGCATTATGTGCTTATACTTTATAGAGTGCTATGCAAGTGTTACCCGAGCCATCATTTAGTACTTCCCTAACTAACAAAGGAAACAGGAAGTCTGTGAGATTAAATTCCTTCTGTCCAAGAAAACAGTGAAGGAAGTCAACTCTTCAACAATCGTAAAATGCATTAAGTGTGTAAATCCATGTGCTACCTTCATTTTTTAACTGCTTAGTCTCAGTTAATTGCTGTTTCAGGATTCACGGGAAAGTGA